CGGGGCACCGCCGGTTTTCTCTGGGCGCCCACTGGTGCAGCTCTTCTTCTTGGGGTTGCTGGAAGAGCTGGGCGAGTCCTGGTCTCGCTTGCGCTTCTCCTGGTTGACAAGGATATATTCTCTCTTATCCTTGTCATAAGTCACGTCCGCATCCGCCAGGGCCTCGTCCCATCCCACATACTTCACATACTCTGAGGGCTCTACTACTTTTCCTTTGGTGGCCAGCTGCCAAGCTTGGTAGCTACTGACTGGATCCAGCTCGGCTACTCTTTTCCCAGGCTGTCCTCTTGTAACTCTATCCAGCCCTACAGATGGCCTTAGATTGAGACACTGCAAGAAAAACTGCTTCGTTACCGAGGAGCTTAGGCTCCCATCAATTAAGCCCTCGGCTTTATCCCCGGTGCTGCCCCGCTGCGCCCGGTAGTGAACAGAATTATGCGCTTTCAGGCTTTCCATATTTGTAAACAGATTTCCACACTTGGTGCAAACTTCATACAGAGACAGGCCCGTGACAATCGTCTCCTCCTGTATCACGTCATTGATAGTGGCTATGAGCTCCAAATCATTTTTTGGTTTGTTTTTGCTCCCGGTCTTGGGGCCGTGCGACTTCATGTGGTTTTTGAGAAACCAGGGCTCTTTGAATCTCCTGCCACAAATGTGGCACCCATGATCAAATGACCCCCTGTGCTTTTTCATGTGAGCTTTCAGGAACCAGGTTTGACTAAAGGCCTGACCACAGACTTCGCACGGAAACTCGCCTGCGCTCAGCTCGCTCTTGCAGTTCTCGGCGTAGGCCTCCCCATTTGGGACCTGAGCTGTTATATGGTCCTTCTCTATGTGGTTTAACAGCGTCTCCTCCCTCAGGGTCATGTAGCTACACAACCTGCACTTGAACGGTTTGTGGACCTGGTGCAGGTGCTGCTCCAGGTCCTTCTTCCTTTCAAATTTGTTTTTGCAGAAGGTACACTGGTAAGAGGTCAGCTTGCCATCCTCCTTGGCTGGCGCCACCTCCATGACCTCCTTCTTGCTGCTTCTCAACAAGATCTTGCTGCTATCTACCTGAGTGGTACCATTCAAGATCTTGTTGCAGGCAGACGTACTTTTAGTGGGGCTGGTGCACCCGCCGAGGCCCTCCGAAACTCCCATCTCCCCCAGTTGCGCCTCTCCCATCTCTGCCTCGTGCCCCTGACTTAAAGTGCCTGTTCTGTGACTACGGATGTGGATCTTCAGGTTGCCCTTTTGGGAAGCTCTGTGATCACAGTAAGGGCATTTGTAGGGCTTCTCGCCCGTGTGCTTCCTCATGTGCTGCGACAAGGAGCTCTGAAAAGGGAAACTTTTACCGCAGATGCAGCAGCTGTGGCACATGGTCTTGTCAGCATCCGTGTCATTCTTGCTTAGCTTGCCTGGGCTGGAGGATCTCCGTAACTCCATTTCTGCCTCTCTACTACGATCCATCTGTATTACTGCAACATCGGGTGAGCGAGGCAGGAGGACAAAAGCATGTCCGGCAGCAGAGGAGGGCTGGACCGTGTTTTCAATCATACGGTTCTGCAGAGAGATGTTTTATTGCTTCATTCCCGGGGTAACGTTTCTCCTTTCAGCTGCTCGAGAGAGTCCGAAGCGCCGATTTATTTCCGTGTGCTCTATAAGTGGATGGCATAGATCACCTGAAACAAGAACAAAATCACACAAATGTACAGAAATTGTGTAAGTAGATTCTTAAATATACTTAAACCTATTCATATTTTTCATTCAACATCTTCCATTACTCGCCCCGCATTCAGAAGCATACTATACCAGAATTTATTGCACCAAAAAGCAGCAGCTTCTTTTTTTGCTGATATTCTAGACTTCCATGGCAAGCATCATTAATAAACAAGTAAAATCCAAAAACGAGCAAACATTCATTTCCATACACTGACATCACAGTGTCTTTAAAAAAAGCGCAAACTTTTAAAATATTTTTTGTTTTAAAACCAGGCAGAAGTGGCTAAAAATACACCTTAAATGAGGAAAACATTTCTTGAGGGGGTTATTACACTTTATATCTGTGGCTTTACCATCATGTGTAATTTCATGTAAAATACTTACTTGCCAAAGATAAAAGGCTTTCCTAGAGACTTTAGTCTGCTGGCAACTGCATTACTTTGCGTCTCAGACAGCTCTGCTGTGCTTGATGTGGCATGCACAGAGCAGGCGCAGAGGCTGAGGACGCTCAGTACTTCGATTAGAGAGAAAACAAGAATCCAGAGCCTGACAAAGCATTCAGGAAAACTAAAAGTTATTTCCTGGTGGACAACAAAGAAAAAAAAAAACTCCAAGTGTAATATTTAGTCTCAATCTAACAAAGTAAACTGATAATGTGCGTAGGTATCAAATGATCTTAAAAGTGAGTGATTTATGTCAACAAGACATACAGGAAACCACAGCACCACCCATCTCAATGAAACAGAATCTTAACCATAAACAAACAAACAAAACTAAAACCAACTTTGATTAACAAAGCAGATTAATAAAAGTTTAAAAGCTTTTGTATCTTGTCATGACTAAAAGCAAGTGTCAGTATCTGCCTCAGCAATGGAAGATGCAACACACCAGCAATTCTCCACCTTGTACATGGAAAAAAACAATGGTTAAGATCTCCATAGATTTTTTCTTTTCCAATTACCACACCGTAGAACAAAAATCTTCCCCCTTCCTATCCTCATTAAGTACTACAAACACCACATGACTAAGATCAAAGAATACTGTATTCTCTAATAAAGAGAACCAATCTATTACTACACTAAGAAAACATCAGCTTCTTAAAAGGTAGCTAAAAACATGCAGAGCAATAACAAGACTATATATTCACACATCCATCACGTGACATCTATGACTCAGTAAATAAAGAGCTACAGATCTACAGTTGCAAATTTTAAGGTTTCTCATTGTATTCACCTCAGAGTCTCTTCAATATGTAAATAAATAAATAGTCTAACCACATCACCAGCATGAGCCTAACAAAAAGCAAGTAAAACCGATGCAATGCTCACCTCAGTTATATACTATAGAATAACTTCATCATGTTTAAGTTAATCTATCCCTCTTATTTGCTACAAGACATTCATTTCTGGGTTTGATTTTCTGCATATCTAGTATCTGTTCAGCATGTTAAGGGTTATCAACAGGACCTACCCAAACTACCTTTTCCTCAGAGAGCTGACAGTAATATCTAAGGGACGTGTTACAAATGCAGTTTCATTTCTCGAATGAAGCATTTTTATATTATGACTAATTTATTATGACTTTAAAAAAAAAAAAAAAATCACATCAGATCACAAATTCAGAAGTCCGTATGAGCAGGAAGTTTACAAACAAGAGTATCTAAATTAATCTCTGAAATTAGCCATTTAAAACCAAATTGAGGGGCAGCCTCAGAAGAAACTCCCTGGGTATATAAAGGAAGGCAGCCACTGGAAGTTGTGGCTGTACCAGAAGGTACGAACATGCCAAAGAGCAAATAGAAACGCAGTTTACACTGCATATTGATGGATGAAACAATTCAGAGTAACACCTTATTTATTTGACCCATAATCTAAATCTGCCAAGTAACAACCCATATTGTCTTATAATCACAGACTTAACTTAAAACTCACTAAATCATAAAAAGAAACACCAAGGTAGCTTCTTGCATTTGACATAATAGTACACTTGAACAAGCAACAGTTTCTTCGGAAATGTTCTGCACCATTGTAGAAAAAAAGATAGCAAGCTTTGGGGACAGATTTTTCCAGGTATTCTATACAATGTTTTCTACATTCTGCATTTTCTACAGTTTACACCAGTAAGAACACTGCTTACTGGTAGGCTGACTTTTAGACTAACGACTTTTTTTTTTTTTTTTAAGGTATGTCCCATTTTAACTCAACTTTCTACAGTGTTTCCTGTCTGAAAGTTCAAAAGAGCTTTGAGAGCCAAACTTAGACAAGAATAGCAGTTCAAGCACATATAAATCCAAAGCTTCAGAGTCCCTTTGTTTACTTGGCCACAGGTTCCCTGTGCTCAGTCTTGACATATTTCACTTTAATTATTTATAGCACTTTCATTAATGAAACTTAGTTATGAAAATGAGGATATGAAGAAAGCTTAACTTATAAGAGGGATATTAGCCTCTCGTAGGAGATCCCCCTAGCCCTATATTAGATTAGGCCTGAGGGGGGAAAAAGTCAGAGTTAAAAAATTACCGAATTATTTTATTAGTCTAAAATACTTAATGGAAGTGTTAGCGTCTTCACCAAAATATTCTGAGAAAATTATTTCATCTTTATTACTTTAGCTTAGCCAATGCACTGCAATGTATAACTTTAAAAGTTGAAATAAAGTATTCCTAGATTTGAATTATTTGAATTCATACATATTTAAGACTCACAAAATTTCAAGTCTGATCTTCCACAGACAGAAATTGCAGGGGGAGGAAGGGTGTTCACCCAATCCAAGTTTGCTTTACACAATGTGAGGAGGTCTCCCTTAGGCTTTGGTAAATCAACTGACACAAACATATACAAACAACTTCCAATTCCCTCCCCACATCATTTGAGTGCCACTTAAAAGTAATTCTTTTAGACGGGCTCTTTGCAGAACAGCAAAGCCAGGTTCATCAGAAAGCAGCAGCAAAAATGAAATCAAAATGACAACTTTGAAAAAAGCTTTAATTTGGAAGACTGAATGTACAAAATGAGGAAAACAACACTTGTAAAGAATCCTACCAATAGAAAATAACATTTTGGCTTAATAATTTCCACCTTAGTATTAATTATTAAACAATTATTTCAACATCAAAGATGGCACGAGGGATGGAAGACATCAACTGGTAAATCAAACCACACTGATTACTCTTCCGCTGTGAGTAAAATTTTGCCATAGCTATTTTTGTTTCTTTCTGGCTGACTGTGATGATAAGAGTATTTGTATTTTGAAATAATTACGAATTTGAAAGCATTCTGAAATAACTCTCTTTCAGCACAAATGGAACGCAGCCACCTCCAGCTACCCTAAGGTTACTAAAAAACGTTTCAACTCTCAGTAATTTCAGGTGGTAACCAGTAACCTTTCATCGCTTTGGTCCAAGTTCACCCTGCAGTTCCTTAGCACCGATTTGTCACACAGAATCCATAGCAGAGTCACATCCAGACGGCAGATTTCTCCCAGATTGTCACAGCATGGAGATCCCCACTAGCACAGAGGGAAGCCATAAGGAAATGCAAGTGAATGTAAACTGTAAATTAATACGTAGTCTTTAAAAATATTTTGTGTGATTTAATGGCATTGCAGCCTATGCCAAATGCCATACAACTCCTTGAGGGGGGTTTGATACTCTGTTGCAAGGGGCATATGAACTAGATTCACTTCATTTTGTTGAACTAGGGATCAGCATTTCACGCAAGAAGCCGCTGACCAGAGTCTGGCAGGCATTTTCAGCCCCTCTAAAGTACACTGAGGCACTTAACATCATCACTGTTTACACGCAGGTTTGGTACGTAACGCAAGGTGGAAGACAAACGTGAACAAAGACCCAAAATCAGGAGGAGTGGCGTGCTGAGAAATGTCTTTGCTCAGCCAAGTATTTTAGTTATAAAGCTTGTTCCTGCACCCACTGCCTCACAGAGTGTCTTTGCCTTGACCCACATGGGAACAAATACAAATAAAACTTTTTTTATCCCTCCCCCTGCTTAAACCAAGTATCTGTCAGAATCAACTCTATTTCAAATGTTTACGCACCAGAACTTCTCTGGTTTTAAAAACTAACTTGGACAGAGTTCCTGGCTTGAGAGAAAACACATTTGGCCAAAGCGACCTGCTCTCACCACGGAGCCCCGGCACCTTTCCCAGCATCAGCCACGGCTTCCCCAGAGAGGCCATGGTCACCCGTCCCTGCCGGTGGCGCAGCAGGTACGGCCAGTGCACGGCTGCATCATCCTCACAACTTCTGCAAGACCCTGACATAGTCTTGAAGTGAAGCATGAGTAAAAGTACAGGGGAACAGCACTTTAAATAAAACAGGAGTACTCTGAAATACCTATTACTCTTCTCTTCATGCCACCTGCATATTCTGGAAAAGGACCAGGTATGCTGTGAGGACTCCCCGCAGGGCGAGACAGACCCTCTTAAGGACCTTTTGTGCCTCTTGGAAAACAATTAATAAAAAAAGAAATTGAAAATAAACAACACAGGAAAACTGAAAAATAGAATGCAAGAGCTACCACACTGAAAAAGTAACTGCAAATTCATTTCTTACATACAAATATCGTGTTCAGTGCAGCCTGAAAGGAAAACATACAAGAAAATTATTTCTGTTCCAACATACAGAAGACTATACATTCTTTTTTAATTTCTCTTCAATTAAACCTGACCTTAAAAATCATATTGCATGGGCTGTAGTGGCAAGAAGGGAAAACTCTTCAGTAAGTAATAAACAAAAACATACAATCTGGGAAGCTACATAGACTTATTCAAATAGCACAGTGTATATTTTAAAACAAACTGCTTTCAGTTTGGGTGTG